TATACGACAACGTTCACGTTGTTTTGAGTACTTCGGTAGGCTCAGGCAGCTGGAAGGACAGTCCGTGGAGGTCCTGAAGCTTTTAACCCGCACATGCGCAATAGGAAATTTCTCTTTCTCGGTGGACGCAATGGCGGACGCAGAGTGAGTGTTTTCTCCCGTATTAAAATCTAAGCACATCCAGTGTTAAAATAACCATCTATATTCATTTTACATCCTAGATATATTGATTAGTTTGCATACATCATAATTCTAGTAGTATTGTTAAAGATTGTCATTCTATTGCTGTTTTGAGTACTTTATAAGAGACTTAGTGTAGCCTTGGTGGTAGTACAACATGGCTGTCTCCCCAGACTCCATGCACTCAAGAAATGGGTAGTTTCTGTGATGTAACGGAGAACACAGTTAAGGACTAACTTACACAACATGTAGTCGACTTTTTTTACTACTGTTCATGCATCGTTGACACGTAGTCTAGTGTTCGAAAGACAAACGCATCCTGTATGGAAGCCGGCAAATGACATGATAGCAAGCTAGCAGCTAGCGTTACCAGCGGCGATGTTGCTTTTCAGTTTAGTAAATTAGCTATGTGACTAAAGTTATAGTCGGTATGCTCAATGTGTTTGTAAGTTGGTCCTGTTTTATATCTTAACAGAAAAAAAGTTCCGGCGGTCCCTGAGAGCCTTTTGAAAAGGCGAAAGGCCTTCGCCACCATGAAGGCCATGCGCATCAAGAAGATGCTGGCTGAGAAAAAGGTAAGTCGTATTCTTGTTTAATGGCCTGTTAAAAGAACTCATTTGACACGTTTAAACGTCTGTGCCCGTGTGCGGCTGAGCCATGGCAGTGGGGTCTGTAATTGTTGCACTGAATGAGCATGTGTTTCTCAGGCCCGCAAAGTGACCAGGAAACTGATCTACAAGAGGGCTGAGAAGTACCACAAGGAGTACAGGCAGATGTACAGGCGTGAAATCCGTCTGAGCCGTACTGCTCGCAAAGTGGGAAACTTCTATGTGCCAGCTGAGCCCAAACTGGCCTTTGTCATCAGGATCAGAGGGTGAGTAGTGTCCACCATCTTTGGGACAGAAAGGTCCTGCTTGTCAGACTAAACCTTGTCATTGACACTTACATGGATTGCTAGACTTCAATAAGACATGCCAAGATGCTGTGGATTGTTAAAATTACTATACATGTTCCTGCTCACATGCAGTTTTGCCTTTGCTCTTCAGTATGTAGTGTTATAGGAGAGCATGTGAAACAGTTGAGTCTTTTGTGCAATGACTCATTTAAGGTCAATACCTAGTTGGGATTCGGGGGGCTGCTGTTTTCAAGGCACTTTAATTCAGTTATGCCTATATGTTAATATAGCAATCCATGTAAATGTACTTGATTAAAATTGTGTGGTCTGTAAATGCTGTCTGAAGTGTGTGGTTAATGATGCACTCTCTTTCCCCGACTTATCGACTATGGTGATACCAATATGCAAAATAAGCCAATTATTTCTGAAACCGCAACTAATAGAATCAATGAGTATACGGATGATATCCTATATAATGATATTCAACATCATCTTCATTTGTTTTTAGTATCAATGGTGTCAGCCCCAAGGTCCGCAAGGTTCTGCAGCTGCTCCGTCTGCGCCAGATCTTCAATGGCGTGTTCGTCAAGCTGAACAAGGCTTCAATCAACATGCTCAGGATTGCTGAGCCGTACATCGCTTGGGGGTAAGGCCGTCAACACTAAAACCTGATGCTGACCTCATGATGGAGGCAAGAGTAACCAAACATCAGTACTTGTAGTCATGTTGTACTCATGTCAGATGTTTTATCTCTGGAATGTGGTTGATGATGCTGAACTTTTTTCCCCATCTTATCGACCATGGTGAATACTGACTGAAACTAAGCCAGTTTTGTCTGAAACCACATTCCATGATAGTAATGGGTACTAGACATAGTGCAGTATTTACATATCTTTATTCTGAGAAAAGTATTAAGTTAACTGCTCTTCTTTGTTTGGACAAACATATCTAGCCATGAGAATGACTTGATGGAGAAATTGAAAGTTTGTTACTGTTCCCCAGTTGGAGACAATGATGCTGTGGATGTGCTTTGTTCTTCCTCCTTTAAAGCGGTCTTATCTCAACCCCCCAGAGAATGATATTGACCTGGTATTTAATGCACCAAATGTGGCTGTTCCTGGGTGTTATCCTGACTTCAAATATCAGGGAATGAGTACAGTTAAACAAAAGGCGAAATGTCACTTCCTTGCATGATGTGAAAACGTAGCTACACAAAGAAAATGTAAGCTAAACAAATATAGCTTTAATGGCTTGTCAGGAAAAGAGTGAATGTTTCTGATCTGGCTGTTTGACACTGCTGGGTAGAGCTATAAAAGATGAAGTTACCTGACCTTAACTAAAGAAACAAAGCTTAATGCAGCTTTAGAAGTGCCCATTGCTTTCTGCAAGAATACTTTTAGTCACCTATGTTCAACCTGAATGTGGTCAAACATTAGAGTGCAGGTGGTTGGACATGCACCCCAGTGGGTTTGTGTGGTTACATTTGAGGGACAGTACCAATACCAAATAACCCCCTAATTTCAGTAAATAACCTTGTTTGTAATACATAGCTGGTCTGTGACTCTTCAATACAATGCTTAATAGATGCAACATCAGGAGATCCAAAGCGCCACATGTTTTGATGTGATAAGATGAGCTCTAGGTTGGATTTTTTTTTTTTTTTTAAATAGGATGTAAAATACCTTTTTAACTAAATGGCTAGATTGTGTATTTAAAACATCCTGTATATTTCTCACTTAGGATTCAAAGTATTTTTGTAAGCCATTTTTAACATAGTAAATGTAAATTTTAGGGGTCAGTGTAATCAGAATATAAATCAACAATACCTAAAGGCCATAACCCACACGCAAATCATCTCTGCTATGAACGTCATTGCTCAGAACTGGTTTGAGGTCTCTTCTGAACCTTAATGACCTGCTTTTCCCTCAGATACCCCAACCTGAAGTCTGTGCGTGAGCTCATCTACAAACGTGGCCATGGCAGAATGAGGAAACAGCGCATTGCCCTCACTGACAACGCTCTGGTGGAGAAAGCGCTCGGTATGGAAATGTTTTACTTACATATGAGGTGCAGAAGGAGAGAACCTCATGTAATGTCTTGAACATTTAAAATTACCGAGAGTATTGGGAGGGAGTAATAATTGGTAACACGGTATTGTAATTAAATTAAGGCATAGTGCTATATGTGGTTAATGATGCTCACTTTTTTCCCCGTCTTATCGACTTTGGTGAAAAAACCCCTGAAAACTAAGCCAGTTTTGTCTGAAACCACATGCCAGTCTGACAGTGACTTTACCGTTAGGATGTTTGTTTTAAAGAAACTTTGGCCCTTACTGATGAGACGTGTTTACTTCAGCCTGGTAAACTTGCATTATAACTTGACATAAATCTGAAGTGTTCGTATACAAACTCCTGTTGTGGGGAAAAATTTCTCAATTCTTTTGCTAGTCAGTAAAGCCAAAGTTGTCAAATATACAGGGTCTTGCATGTTTTTCCAATTGGTTGATATGAACTCACCCTGACTTCCCATATCAGTAAAGTACACATTGCTTTTTGATCTGCAGGCAAGTATGGCATCATTTGTGTTGAGGACCTCATCCATGAGATCTACACAGTTGGAAAGAACTTCAAGGCCGCCAACAACTTCCTGTGGCCCTTCAAGCTGTCGTCACCCCGTGGTGGTATGAACAAGAAGACCACTCACTTTGTGGAGGGAGGAGACGCTGGAAACAGGGAGGATCAGATCAACAGAATGATCAGGAGGATGAACTGAAGTTATGGTGAGTTGAAGGAACACTGAAGGTCTTTAAAGTATTCATGGCTAATTAGGTGTGGTTAATGATGCATAATCTTTTTTCCCCATCTTATCGACTATGGTGAAAACCAGCTGACAATAAGCCAACTATGTCTGAAACCACATCTTAGCCAATATTCTGCGAAGGCAAAATCTAACATGGTTCAAACTAGGGTTGGGCCGATAGACGATGCCAAAATTCAAATTTTCACATACCACCCCCCGTGAAAGCAGGTTTTAATGACCACAAACATTCTTATTAAGTATATTTTGCACCTGCCTCGGAATTCTCTTCTCCCCACACACACACACCTAAACCTCAGGTAAACACTCGCCTCTGTCTCTCTCCCCCGTCTGCTCAGTGTTCTCCATCAGCAGTATGTTTTATAAAGTCTCCTAAAAGACTGAGAACTCGTCTTTTTTCCACCCGCGATCCGTTATCTTGACAGCAGTGAGCCGCACGGCGCCTTATTAATGACATAGCCTATCAAACACCTGAAACTAACATCTACACCCTATGTGTTGCTTTACCTGGTCTGTGTGTAAAATATCCCCCGCGACTTGTAACGTAAGTTAATAGTCCACCAATTATTTCTTTTACCGAGTCTGTGCGAGAGCAAATGCACATAGGACGACTGATGACTTCGTCCATCACGATGTTTCATTGTAGACATCGCCCAACCCTAGTTCAAACGATTCCAAAAGCAGATTAGATCAAATTATGCAATGTTCAGTATGAAAGATCTGAGACTGTAAAGTTTTTAAATGTGAATAGTCTTGTTAGATTGAGCTGGGTGATGCCTGTCTTTAATGGAAAGGTATCTGCCACCTTTTGAATATGTTGCACACATTACCACTATGAAACAAGTGCTGATATAGTTTACCAAATTTAATTTAAGGTCCCTTAATATCTTCATAAATGGTAGTATCTGATTGCTTTAGAAAAAGCATATAATTAACACTATACTAAGTCTTTAGCTAAGTCTGTTTGACATTGTTTTGTATTTACTAACAAATTAGTTTCTCATTCTCTAACAACGGTATTTTTGTCTTTTTCAGGTTTTCAAAGGACACAAAATGTACAATAAAACGGAAAAAAAAGAACTCTTTGTCTTGTCATTCATGTGATTGTGCCATTTAATGTAGGTCATCTCAGCGTTTCGTCTTTCATCTGGTATTTAGCAGTAATTATTTTGCTCCACTCAACTTTATGTAATTGGTTTTAAGTGTTTTTCCTGAGCATGTAAGTCATAATTCACGCCTTAAATGAGAAGGATTGTCAAGAAGGGATATTAAACATGTAGAAGGATATTTTGTAGGACTAAACAAACATTTGATAACATACGTGGTGAGCTTGAGTAACGGTCATAAAGCCTGTTTCTATGGTGACGCTGTGAGTCGGTAGCTCTTGGCTCGGTGAGCTGCCGCCTAGCACTGCTGCTCGGGAGCGACTACACCGTTACAATGACCAGGTGTCGTGTACTTGGTTTATAACCATTGTTTAGCTTATAATATAACTGTATGGCAGCTCCAACATGACTTTCCAGGTTAACGCATCGCTAACATTACCCACCGCAAAGGCTTTAATATCGGAGGGAAGCTCAAATTGCAGCCAGCGCGGCCTTGATGCGACTGGATATCCAGCGTTCAGGAACTTAAGGATGGGAGCAGGTGGAAGACGAGCAGCCATGAGCCATAATAATCACATACGGAGGGCATTTCCTGTGATACAACCCTTGAGCAGTGAGTAAGCGTGCTCCATACATCTGCTAAAGTCATTCAGATGCTGCTAGCTTTACGGTATTTCACATGAATGCTGAACACCGCTCATCTCTGTTGTAGAGTCCAGGGATTGGAAAGCCTTGGTTAGCAGCGTCATAGTTGGAGGGTAAGATGTAGCAACATTGTACCCAGAGCTAGACAAATGCCACAATATAAAGTAAACTGTTCAATAAGTAAACCTGGTTCTGCATCCAAACATTGGGGAAGAGAGTCTCGGTAACGCAGTTTGTTTCTTTGCACCAGCAAAAAGCCATAACTGCGGAAGATATCCATCCTTTACTGGCTCTGTCAGAACATCCGCTTGTTTCCTGAGGCCATTCCTTTCCCATCCTCCTCATGTTTGTCTTATGTATTGTGTTAGCTTCTGGATGTAGGGAGCACCATCACTGGACAGTAGGCTGTGCACAAAATATAGAACACAAGTGGAGGAAATAAAGTACATTATTCAAGAACTACCCTAAGGTACTTTATACAGCTTTTTCAGGACTCTTCAGAGGGAAGTATTGTATGTTTTACTACGCTATATTTGATAGCTGTAGTTACTAGTTCCTTTGCAGAGTCAGATTAATAGGCAATATAATAAGCAAATAATGATCTGATATTATGACTAAAATTAAAACATTACTAATCCCCAGGGATTTCTGTACTTCTTCCACCACTGAAATGCGGCAATATATGAATATATTTAGTGGTACACTAATGCTACACTGCATATGTAATTATTCTGGGTGGTATTCACCTTTTTAAACTCCATTAGTGCTGGTCTGGCTGGTTCTTATTTGTCTTTTATTCGATCTATGTGTAGGTCACCTAACTTAGCCACAGATGACACACTGGCGTCAGAGAACAATGGCCCTGAGAAGGACATCAGTGGGAGACGCTTTCTTTTTGCTAAGCAATGTAAGAATTTAGATAGGGGTTGCCCTTTCGTTGTTGCAGTTGAGAGCAGCTTCAGAAAATGCTCTAGATTTTCTCACTCAGAAATATGTTAATCACTTTTCACGTAGGCTAACAACTGAATGGGCTATAGAGTGGATAAGCTACACATTGAATTTGAGGCTTGTTCCTGGATTGTAACCTGACAGCCAGTAGGTGGAGTTGTCATCACACGCAGTGAGCACAGGTCTCATTTCAGTGACCGCAAGTGTAACCTTGATAGGCTACTTGAGATGACTCGCGTGCACGACATCTTTACAATCGGAATAAACAGTATTTATGAAAGCAAGAGATTTGCCATATTCCCTTTTGTTTTAAAATATCCCTGTCTTGGTGTCAGATCTTAGTTCTGAATGACTAAATATAATTATTTTTAGGTATGAGGTTAGAGAGGACCAGAACTGTGATTCCTCCACTGCCAAGAGACTACCATGTGCACAGACGTGGCAACCTGCATCCCTTCAGCCTCTCCAAGGAGCTTTCCCACAGCCTTGCTGGGCGACCCTTCACCCTGGGGTAACAAGTGGATTAATGTCACTCAGTCCAGCAGTTGTAGCTGTACCCTTCATAACATATTTCTGGAGACAGCTGCAGAGATTGCAGTAATTAGACTGAGTCACTGTCTCATATATTACAACAATATGAGGAAAAAAAGCAGCCAGACACAATTAATATTTTGACACGCTTGCTGTAGCTGTCACAAACAGAAGATTTCAATCTGATTGCTTTTAATGTTTAATATTCTGGCAGCATGGGGCGCATCCGTATAACTTGAATTGTGATTTGGCGCAATAATGACCTACATTTGTGGGAACCGTTTAGTTTAATGGCACATGTCCAACTACAATAACTTTCACATAGTATTTAACACATCTTTGATTAAATCTGGGAGGACATGCGTACCTTGTCTTTTCACATGAAATGAGTATAAAAGCTGCATATAAAAAAAATTGGACTAAAGCCGACACAGAAAGACACCAAATACAAAGGATTTATACCGACAGCCATATGTGCAGCCCTCATGTTTCATATGTTCGTAACAGCCTCAATTCTGTCTTCCAGCTACCCTGAAAGATATGAACTGAATACAAGCCCAGCCATTCTCTTCCCATCCATGTTAGTCCTCAATGGCAGAAACACCTTCTCGGTTGAGAACTGCAAGTTCAGCAGGTACTTTTTGCCTTCATAAACTAAATCAGACCGAGCCAATCAATAGTTCTCTGTTATCTGTCAGACTTACGCCTCTCCTGCTTTCCTTCTGTTCTGCAGGCCTAAGGTGAATTATCCAACCCACAACCTACCGACTGTAGACAATCAAAAGAGTGAGTTGTCACTTGACACGTCACAACACAACACCCTGTCCGTGTAGCATGGTGTTGATTTATTGGCAGCAAACATGCCAGTTTTGTGGATTTTCTGAACAAAAAGCATGGATCATATCAAAGTGGGGCAGTTTTCCTCTTTTTCATAGTCTTTTTTTAATATAGCATACAGGATGGGCAGAACCAAGTATGCAAGACTTGAGAAGTTATATCACTTAAGGAATTGATGTAACTTATTAAATAAATAGTTCTCACAAAATGATAAGTCATAGATAAAAAGGAGCAAAGTAGTTTGAGGAGTTTTATTCAATCTAATATATAGATTGTGCAAACAGAGCTGCAACACAACATCATAAAATGCCCCTTTTATTTTCAGTGCATTTTATCATATAATATCTCTAATATTTCTTCTTCTCCACCTTCCATTCATCCCTCTTTGTCTTTGTGTCTTCCCCTTCTCTCTTGCTCGCCTCTTGCCTTTACAGGCCAGTCCTATCCTGACCCAATGCTTGGAGCCTCTCGCTCTTTTATCCACAGGATATCTGAGCTGTCCTCTTTGGAGGGCGAGACGGTGCGGCAAGAAAAGCTCAAGAAAATGAGAAAACCAAGGAAACCTCCATCCTGACAATCACCTTCTTCTCAGTCCCGCCGGTTAAGGATCAAAACCTTTGAGTCTGTGCCAACAACGTCCGAACAAAATAAAACACTTAGGGGACCGTGTTCATTTCAGTGGCTTGTTCTAACTGCTTGTTTGTCTTCAGTGACATTAGTTTCCTGCTTAACATGGCTGATCTTCACATTTTGGGATTCCTGACCTGAGCTGCTCTCTTTTAGTGATTACATATAGTATTTGCTGTGGTAAATGCAGCGTTTGCTAAATGCTGAAGATAGTCGTTTTCCACTCAACTCTGCATGTAAATATACTTATTTTACCTCTCTAATGGCTTGTAATGGCTGTTATGTAATACTGCCATATTTGTTGCTCAATCATCAATATGTTGATGCTGTCAAGCTCGGATCTCATTACAAAAGTGTTTCAAAGTTGTTGTTATATACTAATAAAGCCTTGTTAAGTAAGTGAAATATATATGTACATCCTAAAATAGTTTAGCAAAACCATTATTGTGCCTTGTTAAACGTCTTCCTGAAATAAAATAAATTTATTTTTGTTATTGTTATTCTTTTTGTTAAGAGCCTCTCCCTATTGTGATGATTGTGTGCACTTTGTCCTGTGGCTTCTAGAGGAGCATAGGCTCATACAGGGGAGCTTCCCCTTCCTTTTGGCACGCACGCTAAAAATCGACCAGCACTGTAATCACAATGCCTAAAAGATTGCAATGAAACATAATCTGCATTCCATATCTACAAGATACAAAACTGCGCCCCCAGATCCCAGAATGTGGTACTTTCCCACATAACGCATTGTTTTGTTGCTGTATGGAGGGCAGCTTGTGTCTCTGAATGGTCTTGTTCTTTGTATTTAACAAAGACAGCAGTCACAGCAATTGTCGATGTAGCAGCTTATCATTTGTCATTTATCATTTGTGCTTGCTTAAGATTTGTGATAATGCAATTTGCACTGTGATTGACCTTCTTATTTTAACTCTTTCTACGTGTTCCTGTGCACAGAACTCAACTGCATCCCTGTACCCTCGAAGTGGGACTAACTAAAGCAGAAAGGCAAGAGTCATGGCTGTAAACTGTCAATCATGTCGACGTTTGAAGATATGTGAAAAAAGATTCACCTGCTAGCGCGTGCATTACAGGTGACACGTAGTGTGAAGCCAGATGCCACAGCTGCAGGCACTGGATGGGCAAACCCGAATACTGTACAAACACCAGAAGAAGAAAGCGACAAGGCTGTGAAAGTTAAAAATGAAGAAAATCATCTTGCTCAAAAGTTTGTTCTATTTGAAAGACAAAGTAGAAGCTCACACACATTCAAACTGGATTAACTAGATTCTTTCCCTGTGCATGTTAACCTTTGAGAATAGTATCCCAAAACATTTGATATTAAAAGTAAAAAGTATATGTCCCAGATGAGGTTGTTTTTTGTCATTCCACCAATGTGTGTTATCCCTTCACTACAGCCATCCTCTGTTTAACCCAGCGCTAATCAGGGATGGGGAAACAGCGCCAAGATGGCCGCTTTGCTGTCACTTGAAGGGTGATGGCGGCCTGCGGTCTGTCATTGAAACGATTTAGAGTGGAGAGCGATGGGGCCTGACAGTGATGGATGAAGGCTTCTTGTGGATCTGAAAGACTTTCAAGTGAAAGATCAAGGTTTTAGTTTTACACTTCTTTTCTTTGGACATTTCCATTTCATTAAACAAAGCGGAGACAGGATGTGCACAAGATCAAGGATTTCAGTCACTGTGCCACTTTGAAACTTGGCTGTTAACTGTTTTTCTTTTCAGGGTGTGTAGCTCTAAGCTCCCTATTAAATACAAATGTGATGTTGTCAAATGTTGGGCTCTGTTTGTGTTCCTCCCTCCCTCACTGTGGACAGTGAGGTGTGCATTTCAGGGACACACAGTGACCTAGAAACACAGAGCCAAGCCCTTATTCGTGTGTGAAGGGAAGGGGCTCCCTCTTCTTGCAGGGTTTTCTACCGTCTCTTTCAAGTGTAGTGAAACAAAATGACCTGGAACAAACAGTCAACAATGAGGTCTTTAATAAGAGCTCTACTGGGGCCTGCCCACAAGTGGTTTATCATTTCACAGTGGTCCCACAGAACTCCTAACCACCAGATAAAGTGCTGTACTCATTTGAATCAGTGACGGTTCATTTTGACAGGTTGTTGAGCTGTTGATGGTTCAGGTTTTTAAAACATGTTTAATATAAAAGTTATATCTCATATTTGCTACTAAAATATTCACGTCATATTATTTTGAATGTATTGTCTCAGAAACAATAAGTGAGGGTAAAGTGTGTGTCCCCAGCTCCACCACTGCTATAGTGACGAAAAGCCAGGTTGTGTTGCTCTTCCACCTGACTTGATATTGTGCCAGTCGACTCTATCAGCAGGGATCAGAGAATGTAGCCTGTCTGCCAAATTATAAAATCAAATATGCCCTAAATATGTTTGGGTCAGTGTGAGAGGAAAGGTGCCAGCCGAGGTCTGGGGACAAAGTCATCACTGCTTCTTCATTCCCTTCAAGATGACTGTGGATAATGTGTTTGCTGTTTAATGTGCCAGTGCAACACCTGAAGATGGTTATCAGCTTTATTGGCCACATAAAATTTTATACACTTATAAACTGTTGTCTGCATTTAATCATTCCTAATTTGCAGCAGTGGGCTATAGAGAGATTATTAGGTTAGAATTAAAACTAAAAGTCTAAAACTAAAAGTCTAAATCAAAAACGCATTTGTTATTTAGGATTGGGCATTTAGTATTTTGAATAGGGCATTTAGGCATTTGGCTATTTAGGATTGAGCCTTTAGGATTGAGTATTTGAGCATTTAGGTTTGGGCATTGTTATTGCGTTGTAACACTGAAATGTTGCGCACCAGCAGTTCCAAACCCAGCCTCCAGTCTTTGGGTCACGCCCCCTTATTTACATACACTCCTCAATCCTAAATCCTAAATGCCCAAACCCAAATGCTCAAATGCCCAATCCTAAATGCATAAATGCATTTTTGATTTAGACTTTTAGTTTAATTCTAACCCAATAATCCCTGCATAGTGGGCAGCCATTGTGCAGTACCTGAGGAGCAGTCAGGGGCTCAGGGGCACCTTCGGCAGTGGTCCACGTTGGATTCAACCCTCTGGTTCCCAAGCTATATCTAATACAATAGATGTGCACTCACCTTCATCAGGTGAGTTATCACTCACACACCCACAGCATCATATCTTCTATTTACGAATATTCTTTCTTTAGTAAGGTTTTAACCCTCCGATGGATGCATTTTGCCACCTCTGTTGTGAAACCTGCTTGGGCTCTAAAGAAGATCCTAAATGATAGTTACACAGAGATCAAAAAGAAACGAGAGAGCAAACAAGCGACATGTGTCAACAGGCTCTCCTGGTCCCAGAGTAACCAGTGTGTCTGTGTATTTAAGTGAGGCACTCGGAGGTCAAATCTAAGTCTTTGTTGTCATATAAACTCAGCAGAGCTCAAAACTATGTCAAAGCTTTGGCAACTGAGCTTATTGTGTTATAGTGTATAGTTCCTTTGCTTGCACTCTCTGTCTAGAACCTTAAGATAGCAAAAAACCAAGACAATTTTTTATCATTTAAGAATGTGTGTGTATACGTTTTTACAGCTGCTAGGTGAGAAGTATTTTTTATTTTCCAACCATAAATTCCTGACCCCAAAAGTGTCATTGCCTGGTTTGAGTGAGATTTAACATGTATTTAGAAATTCTGTTTCAGGATTTTTAGTGCCAGTCCTTGATGTATAGCTTTGTATGTTTTGTGATATTTATACACTTTGCCCTTGGCAGAGAAACACACACCCCCCCTTTTCAGCAAGTCTAGTGGCCCAACCTTTCCGCCGCTCTCTGACATTTCACAACATGATTTATGAAATCCACAGTGATAGATGAACTCTCTCTGATAGTCATTACTATTACCTGAAGTTTCATCTCCCTCAGAGGCAAGGGTCAGTCCCACTCCCCACCCACACCCTGCCTCATCTGCCTGCTGCTGCTTCTAATGTCTGCACTGATTTACACACATGGAACTATATGCCAAGATAGCTGACTGATGGGGGGGGCAATTATCAGTGATGATGTCAGGTTCGGGTAGGGGGAAAAACTTTCATCAATATTACTCTCTTTGTTGTCATTACATTGGCGCTGCTTCAAGGCCAGCTAGCCTGCCAGAGAGTCATCAGTCCTTTCTGCTGTTGTGGTCCTGGAGGAGAGTGTTATTATCTATAAACTATCAAACAGTAATGACCTGTAATGAATGGAGCATCATTAATGGGATGTACTAGATGTGAAGAGACTCACTTGGGAGCAGGATTTAAGTTATAATCCTCAGGTACAGAGTACATAATACCAAGCACATGTAAAACACAATTCTCTGTATTCTTTGTTGTAACAAGGAAAATCTCTGTATTTATCACCTGGATTCCCCTGTTCATCCCCACTTATCTGTTTGCCAGATCGACCTCTGCCTGAATACTGTGTTCTGATGACTCAAGACAAGTCAAACATCCAACTTCTCCACTCTTTAAATAATGACTCACACGCTTTACTGTAGCCAGGTACATCACTCACAAGAAATAAGATCGAAGACTCTCGGACATTCGGACAAATGCACACTTAACGGGTTACACAAACAAAGTAAAAAAAATCAGTTACACATGAACAGATACTGTATGTAGCCTACACTCCCTAACAGCACACACACACACACACACACACACACACACACACACACAGTAGAAATGTACAAATGTACATGCGGAGGGGGGAAGTAGGAGACGGCTGAGCAGTAAATTCAGAGGATTGTGGACAAAGGCTTCCATTCATGAGACAGAAACTATACTCATCAGGAAGAAACAAACTTTGACAAATTAGTCTGAATAGCTGTGTAATTAAATATTTGGTTACTATTTATATTTGGTAAATATTTTTGAGGTCATGTTATTTTTGCAATGACAGTATATTGGAGATTGGACACCAGTATGAAAGTCAAGAAAAGTGTCAACTTAAAAAGTCAAAGGTAGAAATGTATGAGTATTAGAGAGCCGAAGTGGCCGCTCACCACACGTTTGCATTTTCATTAGTTGATGTCAAAATAGGGAGGCTTTTGTACATTTGTCAACAGAGGTCTTGAAACTACAGCAACCCAGATCAGTGGTTACCATGGCGACGGCCGCCACACCTTGCATTCCCCATGTAGGTGAAATCGAGCTAGGGATTCACCCTCCCGTCTCCTCGAAGTCCAGTGCAAGAAAGGGTGGCACGCACAAACTAAACCCAATCTATGGCTCTGCATTTGTCAAATCGAACTAGCTATGTGTATGATGTCATGAATTCAGCCTGTGACACGACAGTTTGTGACAGAGCTTGAAGACCATAAACAGACTTAGTAACAGGTCTCTGTACAGGACTTAATCCCCTTTCCTGTCCACTCACATACACTAACAAAACTCCAAGCAGTGTGTGTGTTACTGTGGGAAGCCTGATTGACTTTGACAAGTGCACAGTAAGGGCAGAAGGT